GGGGCAGGTGTGGGCGCCCCGTTTTCCTTTGTAAGCAAAGTCTGACTTCAACAGGCTAACGTGTTGTGGGGACCCCTGCCTCTAGGGTCAGGCGTCTATGGGGTTTGGAGTTCTAAAGCCAGCTGATGTGTTGTGGGGACCCCTGCCTCTAGGGTCAGGCGTCTACGGGGTTTGGAGTTCTAAAGCCAGCTGACAGATGTGCGAGTATTAGCTGTCTGGTACCATCAACAGAACGAAGACAGCGCCCTCCCCCTGTTCTGATCAGTTGTTTTCATTGCCCAGGGGGGATATTTTTTAATGAGCCCAAGTCTGGGAAAGTTTATGTCAAACGTAGAGTGTGCTCCTGGTATGTGGGCACTAGGAGCAGGCAAATGTGAAGTGGGGGAGAGGGACCTCCCAGTGCAGCGCTGGAAAGCAGCCTGTGGGAAGGGTGGTTTGCTTAGCTCAGTGCTGTGACTGCTCTGCCCCGCCCCCACCCCATGGCCTCTTCTGCCTAACAAGTGGCCTGTGACCTTCCAGAGAACTTAACAAACAGCTCTTGTGGGTCCGGAGAGGGGGTCCACCATGGGCCAGCTGCTCTGCAGCCTGGGGACAAGGAGGTGGAAGGGATCCACAGCGGGACAGGGCCACACAGCCTGGCAATGGGACTTTTCCATGGCTGCTGGTTGCTGTGGGCCGAGTCTCAGTCAAAGCTAATGTGTCAGGGCAGCTCAAACCGACAGGGAGGACACTGAGTGTCCCGTCATGCCTCCTGGAACCCGAGGGGACAGGGCCACAGGCTGAGGCCTGGAGTGGCCACCGGAAGAGCTTCAGCTGGGAAGCCCCCCTCAGACACCCTGCACCCTCCACGCCCTGTGCCCCCTGCTTGCTTCTCGAGCTTGTGGGGAGGTAGCACCGTACAGCGGACACTGAGCCCCAATTTCCAAGTCCCCTTGCAGAGATGGATGTGCATCTAGGCCCCTGACTGTGTTCCAGCGAGAGAGCCTGCGGCCACTCAGCCTGGTCCACTGCTGTCACACGAGGATTCGGAGACCACCCCGTCCCGAGAAGTGCGGGTGGGTGGTGGGCACCCCACGCATGCCCAGCTCACCAGGTGGGCACCACTCTGCTTTCCAGGACACAGCAGCTGCATCCCGCTCATCGACCCCTTCACCAGCGAGAGCCTGGACACCTCTGTACAACACCTCATCTGTGAGTGCTGGGCGGGCCCCCGCCAGTCTCCTGCGGCTGAGGCTAGGAGTGGGCAAGCCTGTGTTTCCCAGGCAGCATCGCCAGTCTCTGCATGTCCCGCCACTGGTTAATGGTCAGGTGCTGCCTCCGGACAGTCCTGACCACTCTGTGCCTGTTGGGGGCAAGGGTGGGACACAGCTCTGGGACAAGCGGTTCTCATCGGTGCCTCTGTAAATGCCAGGCTCCCGCTTGTACCCCCGTCTGTCTTTCCAAATGTGCTGCTGGCCTGCCTGGTGGACATCTCCCGCCCCCTTGGCTGGGGTTTTGGGAGGGTGCTGGGGAAGCCTCCCATACCGTGGGCCTAAGGAAGCCTGTGCTGGCAGAAGAGGTGGCCACTGGGAGAGTGGGGGTTACCATGGAAACAGGGCCGGGAAGGGGAGCGGGGATGCTCTGGCCGGGATGGCCTGTGTGTCCTGCCGAGTGGAACAGTAGGAAACTGTCCTCCAGGGTGCTCAGGGCTCTGAAGCGCTGACCTCGACGTCCCTGGGGTGGGTAGGACCCCAGACTCCCACCTGCACGCTGACCCCCTCTTCTGCAACGGTGCGCCGCACTGCGCTCCCTGCGGAGGGCGGGCTCCCCGGCCCCTCACACGCTGACGGCCTCTCTGCTCCCTCGGTGGCCTCCCCCGGATCCCTGACCCTCTCCCTTCCCTGGGAGCAGAGCCCCCACCCCCGCGCACCCTCCTCTCCCGCAGCGCTGCACCGAGCTGTCGTGGTGGTCCTGCCCCTGAGCCTCATCCTCCTCGTGTGCGGCTGGGTGTGTGGCCTGCTTGGCTCCCTGGCCCAGAGCGTCCCTCTGCTGCTCGTCACCGGCTGCTACTTCCTGCTGGGGGGTGAGTCTGGTCTGCGGGGGCTGGGCCAGCTCCCCTGGGAGGGGTCCCACCTCTCCCCCTGCCCCATTGCTGCTTCTGTCCAGGCTGGGTCTGGCCGGGGCCCACCCTGGACACGGGCTGCAGTGGGTGAGGGCACGCTGGGCTGAGCTGGTGGGAGGTCTCTGGCGCTGCTGGGGCCTGTCTGCTGGAGGCCTGCTCCCAGAATTCCCTGTGGGGGAGCAAGGGCATGCATGGCTGAGGCAGGGCCAGGCTTCCAGTGGGTGAGAAGGGGCATCCCGGGTCTGACCTCAGCCTAGGTCAGAACCGGACCGCTAGCAGGCTTCTGACACTCGTGGAGGAACGGGAGCCTTCAGGACCCTCACAGAACACTGTGCTGGTAGGGGGCACTGGGCAGTCCCACCTGAGGCCCAAGGACCACTGAGGTCAGGAGGAGACTGCCTGGGGGTCTGTCTCACTGCCCTGGGACGCTGCCTACCCCAGCCCCCCAGCCCCATAAAGGCTCACTGTGGCCGTGGCTGAGGGTGGGCTGGCAGCCTCTTAGGGGCTCTCAGATCAGGCCTGGAATCCTGGCCAGCTCAACCTACAAGGACCACACCTCGCCCATGACTCTGCCCTACAAAGGATGCTGACTCTGTGGGGGGCCTTTGTCAGGGGACAGCCTCACGGGCTGCTGTTGGTCACAGAACATTAGACAACACTGGAGTGACATGTCCTTTGGAGGGCCCAAATGTCAGAGGTGGTTCTGCATGGGTCACTGCAGCTGACCCCAGGTGGTCTCTGAGAGTCTGCAGTCTAATTAGGAAAGCCTCAGGGAGCCACTGGGAGCAGTAATTGGTTGGAATTGTCACCAGGAAAACGTAGGACGATAGGCTTTGAGAACCAGGCAGCCTGGGGTGTCCCAGACACAGGCCGGAGAAGGGACGCCCCAACCCCCTTGTCGGGGTCAGCCCACCTGCCTAGTCCTCACTGCCTGCACTCAGTGGCTTTCTATGTCAAAGGGTCACAGTACTCTCAGGGGCCGCCCCTCAGGGCTAGCACTCGAAGACACACAGCCTAGGGACCTGCAGCAAGCGTCAGCGTGGGCAGTGAGAACGCAGACAGGAATGTCCCACCCAGAGGACCAGCCTCCACGAGCACTCAGGAGTCAAGGGGGAGGAAGTGGGGGTGGGCTGCAGAGAGTGAAGGGGGACAATGAGACAGGATCATGTAGGGGCTGCGGGCTGGCATGATGAGGTCTTTGTGACTGCCAAGCAGGGCCTCCCTGTGCCAGCCAGGGGGGACTTCCTTCAGGACACCTGAGACAGAACTGGCACGTGGGCTCCCCGGCCCCCAGGGAGAGTCAGGGCCCCCCTGGAGCCCATGTGATGTGAGCAGAGACCAGGGCAGCGTGGGGAGGGCTGAGAGATGGTCGGCCACCCACCGGTGCCCCAGCTCGAATGCGGAGCTGGGCAGGGGTGGGACTGCAGGCTCTGAGTGAGGGTCCCGGCTTGACCAGGCTGCACAGAGGCGGCTGGAGGTCTTGAGGGGGCTCAGCTGGATGGGCGGTGTGCGGGGGTGGGGAGCTGGCAGCCGGCTCTGACAGCTGAGACTAAGACCTCTTGGCCAAGGTCCCAGGCCCTCAGCCTCCCACCTCCCGGGCATCAGCTGCCTGGGCCGTGCTCCCGCAGGAAGCCTGAGAGAGGCTGGCCTGCCCAGCGTCCCTGCCCAAACCCAGAGCCCAGCTATGCTGGGATTTGGCTTCACATCTCTTCCAAAATGAAACCCATCACTTCCGGGTCTCCCTGAGGGGCCCCAGGCTGTCTGCTGTCTGAATCTCTCCCCGCTCCCTCTCCTCCCTCCTCCCCTGCTCTCCAGCACGTTGGAGGCTATGTGCAGTGGGGTTTGTGAGCGCAGGGCCCTGGGTTTGAGGACTGAATTGGGTCCTCCTTACAGCGCCATTCCTCCAGGCCCCAGAGCTGACCACTGTTAGTGCCTGGCCCCTCCCCTGGCCCCCATCTCCCCAGGCCCCTCCAGGGAGGGTGGTCCCGAGACCCCTGGCTGAGGGCCACTCAGAGCGAAGCCGGGAAAGGGACGGGGCAGGCTTGGGGCAGGGGCTTCGGAGGCCGTGTCTGCAAGGCCCCTTGGCCAGGGCCTCGGTTGCAGGGCTGGCTGCCCCAGCAGGCACAGGGTGATGCCCTGTTTCCCCAGGTGCCCTGACCCTGGCGGGCATCAGTGTCTACATCAGCTACTCGCACCTGGCCTTTGAGGAGACAGCCCGCCAGTACGGGGCCCAGCACGTGCAGGCTGTGAACATCAGCTTTGGCTGGTCCTCGGCCCTGGCCTGGGGCTCCTGCGCGGCTGAGGCGCTCAGCGGAGCCCTCCTGCTTGCGGCAGCCCACGCCCTCAGCCTGAGCCGGCAGCCTGGCGCCCCCCACTCCGTGGTCATCTGAGTGAGAGGCCAGCCCTTTGTGTCTTCTGGGGACGGTGGTCAGAGCCCTGGCCTGAGGGGTTGCTGGCGGAAGGCTGGGGTCCCGCCTGTCATCCATCTGTCATCCTGGCTGGGATTGTGGGGGTAACACCAGGCTCCTCATGCTTGGAGAAGGCAGATGTTTGGGGCTCCCCACACCCCTCTTATGCTCTCTAGGGATGACTGCTTTACCCTCCTCTTAGAGACGGGCAAAGTGAGCCCCAAAAGAAGAGCCAAGGTCACGGGATTGTATTTGGAGTTGGTGGGGGGTGCCCCTGGCTCCTGCTGCTCAGCGGGGCCCCTTGTCACTAGTCCATGAGCAGTGATCACTTCCAATCCCGTTCCAGGGCTCTGGGGCAGCCAGAGAAGCCCCCACCCATGGGAGGAGAGGGCTCAAGGAAGAAGTAAGCCAAAGCCCACTGCCATCGAGGCGGCTCTGACTCATGGAGACCCCCATTGAGTTTCCAGGGTGGTAAATCTTTATGGAAGTAATGGCCCCATCTTCCTTCTGCAGTGTGGCTGGTCTGTTTGAACCTCCAACCTTCTGGTTAGCAGCCAGATGCCTTAGGCACTGTGCCACCAGAGCTCCTTTTAAGGGAGAAGTAGGTGTTGGGTAGATAGCCCCAGGGCTGGGTGCTGAGCGCTCATGGGCTCATCCAGTCCCTGACCATCCTGCATGGCAGTTACCATTCACCCGCTTTACAGAGGAGGAGACTGAGGTCGTGAGCTGTGGAGGTCACCCCCATCAGCCAGGGGCCGATGGCAGAGCCAGGTGCCTGCGAGGGTCAGTGTGACTCCCCTGCCTGTCCCTCCTGGGAGGGCGGGAGGCACTCAACAGGCTGAGTGACCTGGTCCCTCCAGTGTTTCTGGCTTGGTGGTTGGTTTAAGTGCTTCAGGGCAGGATAGGCCTTGGGCCTCTGGTCCTGCCCTGTTTCGGGCACTGTTCCTGTTGACGGGGACTCCGAGGCAGCTGCCCTTCCCTTTTTGCAGCTTTTTGGGAACATCTGTGGTCTCCAGGGGCCAGTGGGCACCCCAAACGATCCGGAGGAGGGCGTACTTGCCTGCTCGTGGGTGACCAGGATGGAAGGGCTGACTGGTGTTGCCTGGTGGCAGGGGGCTGGGGACAGGCTCCGGGCCAGCATTGCTGCAGGCTTGTTGGATTGAGTTGTGAGTCCCAGGCGGGTGGGGGCAGCCAGCAGACCTGGAGAACGTGAGGACCTGGGTCAGGCGGGCTGCAGGGGGCAGGCTCAGTTTTCTGCAGGCGAGGAAGCTACGGGAGTGGTTGTTGGAAGCCCCCAACAGTCCCATTCCTGGTGGGAGCCCTTGAGCCTGCGACATGTGCTGGAGGAAGATGGCTGTCCCTCTCCTCTCTCAGCTTGGTCTCCCTCCCTCCCCCATCTCTCTTGGTCACTTCCAAGGTTACAGGAAGCTCCTGGGGCACAGGCACTGGTTATTACGGGCCCACAGGCCACACAGGTGGGGCTGGGTGGAGCCTTCAGTTTCTCCTTGTATTCTAGCATCTACCACTCCATGTGGGGACCAGTGCACCAATTTGTTCTTAAATAAATTGACTTGTGCTGTGTGTAACCTAAGCCTTCTTTCTCTTGAAATTTGTGAGAACAGGTTACACATCCCCATGTCGTACAAACAATGCAAAGAGGACAGTGACCACCTCTGTGTGTGCACGTGTGTGTGTGCACGTGTGTGTGTGCACGTGTGTGTGTGTGCATCCATCCAGGGAAATTCTATGAAAAATAAACCTGCTTTCCTTTCCAAACCAGCAGAGCTGTGGGAGGTGTCCCTGGACGGAGCCCCTGACCTCCAGGTTCACTTCCAGGACTGGCTTTGTAGGCAGCTCCTTCTGTTAGTGAGGCGAGGTTCCTGGACCTAATGGGGCTGTAACTGGACTTCCCCTTCCTCCTGGGCCCATGGCCTTCGCCGAGGAGGTTTCTTCTGGGTAAACAGGAGTTTGCTGGAGGACTGAGGGTGAAGTTGGACGCTGAGCCTTCTGGGCTGCAGATGGGTTTGAGCTTTGGGGAGAGGATGACGGAGTGGACACCCTGGGGACTGCCTGGGGTGTCAGAACGCCGTGAGTGGGAGGCATGTGCTGCTTGTCCCCTCCCGTCCAGAAAGTGTTCAGGGGATGGACACAGGGAAGTGGGAGGGGAGCTGTTGCATTGTGGTAAACTGTGGTCAATGTCATGAGACAAAGTGTATGTGAACTGCTGTATAGAAAGTGAATTTGCTCTGTAAATCTTCACCCAATTCACAATTTAAAAAAAAAAAAAAAGAAAGAAAAGAAGAAAAAAAGAAACTGTTCAGGACATTGAGCTAACTGTCCCGGGGAAGATGGTCAGAAGGGATAAGTACTGGGCGGTCAGGGCTGTCTGCACGCTGATGACATTAGGAAGCCGAGGTGCTCAGAGCAACAATTAGGGAAGAAAGGTTGACGCCAAAGGGACCAGGGCCCTGGGAGAGTGGGGCAGAGCCGAACTCTTCCATCTCTAGCTCTCATCCCTGGGGAACCCCACTGCAGTGATTCTCTGTCCTCGGGATGCCCCTAAATCTGCACATTGTGTCCTCACAGTCACCGTTCTTGACTTACAGTCGCGGGAGTGGGCCTCCATTCCTGCAGCCGGATGATAAGTCCTGACTAGGATGCCCTGCCCCCTGCATAAAATGCCCTTCCTCCTCCTCCTCAGAGTCCTCTCTTCAGTGATGGTCCAGCCCCATCCCTGTCCTCTTCTCTGCTCACTCCAGCCCCTCCTCCCTCCTCCCTCCGGTCCATCTGTCTGCACCTTTCCATGGGCCGGCTCCGTTACCTATCCTCTGGTCTATACAGGGCATGTAGAAGGAAATGCTGAAAACTTCACACTGCCTGTTCTTGGGCACAAATACAGGGCATTGTTACTTTCTTCTTTAACCCTTTTTTATTGTCCAAAATTATCTACGCTTCCTCTCTTTTGTTCTCCACCAGCCTGGCCACGGGTTTATCAAAGTTCTTAATCTTTTCTAAGGACCACCTTTTGGCTTTATCTGACTACACCCTCCCCTCACTTATCCATATGGTTAGTTTGTTTTGCAGAATCGGTGTTATGTGAACATTGAGGGTGACCACATCAGATCACAAAGTGGAGGGTCATCATTACATAACTGCCAGACCACTGAGATCACGGCCCAGCCACGTTGACACCTACCTTAATCATCAACGATGGGCCTACTCTCACCTTGACCCTCGGCATTTGTATTTTAATACAAAAATAACCGGGTAAAAGATATTTTTACTATTATTGTAACTGAGAAATCTCAGATAATGAGACAATAATAAGTGAGGAGGTGTATTTTCTTCTGACTTACCTTCCTTTTCACTAATTCTCTCTTCAGCTGTTCTTGTCTGTTACTAAACCTATCCACTGAGTTCTTAATTTCAGTTACTATATTTTTCAGTTCTAGAACTTCCATGGGGTTGGGTCGTACTGTTTCTCTGTCTCTACCAAATTTATTGATCTTGTCTTGTGATTCCTTGAATATTTTATTTTTAAAGTCTAAGTCTAATAACTCCTTTATTTTGATCCTCTGGGCATCTGCCTCTCATCTGTTTTTTTCTCTTGGTTTCAGCCCTATGGCTGGTTCTTTCCATCCGATGCCTGGTTATTTCTGATTGAGTGGGGACTTCACCTATAAAAAGCAGGAGAACATTGGGGCACGGGAAGGTGTCAGCTTCCTGCTTCTGGCAGGCTTCTAAGCACAGGCAGGAGTGATTCCATATCTCCTGGACCAGGACAGTGTAGTTAAGCTTGTGTGCCAATGTGGCTGGGCCAGGGCTCTCAGTGGCTGGGCAGCTGGATGTAGTTATTACCCCTGATGAGACTGTAGTCACCTCCATGGTGGAATGTGCTTTGAGTAGCTAAGGCTGTGGCCTACTCCCAGGATATAAGGAGAAGCTTTGAGAAAGGGCTCAAGCTTTTTGGCACGCCTGGATCCCACGTTGGCTAAGTCTTCAGCCAGTGGCCTGCTATGTTGCCTGCCAGTTTTGGGGTTGTTCCTGAACCTGCACTTGATCTTGGCATTGTGCCTTTTCTACCTGATGACCTTGGGTGCATCGGCCTCTGAGTTAGAAGCCTCCAGCTCCAGTGGGCCAAGCCATGGTCGAGGGGCCCTCATCCAGCCCCCAGAGCTGGCACTCTGACCTTGGGCTTCTAGCCTCCTAAACTGTAAAAGAATAAATTCTTGCTTGTTAAAGTCACTCACTTGTGGTGTTTCTGTTATGGCAGCACTAGAGAACCAAGACAGAGGGGTTACGGTGATTCACGTCTTGGCTTCAGTTCTCATGAAGGTTGTCCCATTTCCAGTTTCTCTTACTCCTCATGGGTAGCCCTTAAGCGCCCCAACCCAAAGCCAGGGGGTGGCGGTTACCAGAGCCCTTGGGTAAGCCCTGAAGCTGTTTCTGCCCCTTCCGCCCTGAGAGTCTGTGCAACCTTCGCTCAGCTGTCCACCTCTGAGGAGCTGCCTTCAGAATCCAGCAGACCCCAGAGGAGAAGCGGCCCCAGCGCCCGGCCCGACTCTGGGCTTCCCTCTTCTCCCAGCTCTGTCCGCACACCCCTTCCTGCCCCGCAGTCTCTCCAGCCCTCCCAACAGAACTTTACAAACACGCGTTCCATCCAGCTTTCTTGCCGGTCTCAGGGGGGTCTTACAGTAGAGGCCTGACCAGCATCATCCACAGTGAGCACACATTGCCTCCTCAGTAGAAGACGTTTATTTTTCCATTTCCTCCAGATTTTCAAATTTGTTGGAATACAGTTCTTCATAGTATCCTGATATTATCCTTTTGATTTCAGCTGGTTCTGTTGTGATGTCACCCATTTCATTTCTTATTCGTGTTATTTGTATTCTCTCCCTCTTTTCCTTTGTTAAATTTGCCAGT